GCTTGTGATCTCTCTCTCTCTGTCAAATAAATAAATAAAATCTTAAAAAAAAAGATGTGGTGTGTATGTATGTGTATATATGTTCATCAAAAAAATGAAATCCTGCCATTTTCTTTTTTTTTTTTTTTAAGATTTTATTTATTTGACAAAGAGATAGCCAGAGAGGGAACACAAGCAGGGGGGAGCAAGAGAGGGAGAAGCAGGCCTCCCGCCATTCAGGGAGCCCGACCTGAGCTGAAGGCAGACGGTCAACGACTGAGCCACCCAGGCACCCCAAATCCTGCCATCTTCAATGATGTGGATGGAACTAGGGGTATTATGCTAGGCGAAATAAGCCAATCAGAAAAAGACAATTATCATTATGATCTCACCAATATGTGGAATTTAAGAAACAAAAGAGAGGATCATAGGGGAAAAGAGTAAAAAGTAAAACAAGAAGAAACCAGAGAGGGAGACAAACCATAAGAGACTCTTAATCATAGGAAACAAACTGAGGGTTGCTGGAGGGGAGGAGGGTGGAGGGATGGGGTAAGTGGGTGATAGATATTAAGGAGGGCATGTGATGTAATATCACTGGGTATTATATAAGACTGATGAATCACAGGTGTGTACCTCTGAAACCAAGAATACATTATATGTTAATTAATTGAATTTAAATAAAAAATGTTAAAAAAGATAAAAAGCTTTTGCACAGCAAAGGAAACAATCAACAAAACTAAAAGAGAACCTACTGAATGGGACAAGATATTTGCAAATGACATATCTGACAAAGGGTTAGTATTCAATAGATAGAAAGAACTTATAAAATTCAACATCCAAAAAATGAATCATTCAATTAAAAAATGGGCAGAAGACCTGATAGATATTTTTCCAAAGAAGACATCCAGATGGCCAACAGACACATGAAAAGATGCTCATCATCACTGATCATCAAGGAAATGCAAATCAAAACTACAATGAGATATCACCTCATACCTGTCAGAATGGTTAAAATCAACAACACAAGGAACAAGTGTTGGTGAGGATGTGGAGAAAGGGGAACCCTCTTGCACTGTTGGTGGGAATGCAAACTGGTGCAGCCACTATGGAAAACAGTATTGGAGGTTCCTCAAAAAATAAAAATAGAACTACCCTATGACCCAGAAATTGCACTACTAGGTATTTACCTCAAAGATACAGATGTAGTGAAAAGAAGGGGCACCAGAACCCCAATGTTCCTAGCAGCAATGTCCACAATAGCCAAACGATGGAAAGAGCCCAGATGTCCATCGACAGATGAATGGACAAAGAAGATGTGGTGTGTGGGGGATGGGTGAACTAGGTGATGGGGATGAAGGAATGCACTTGTGATGAGCACTGGGGGATTTATGGAAGTGTTGAATCACTATATTGTACACCTGAGACTAATATAACACTGTATGTTAACTGACTGAATTTAATTAAAAAAGTAACTAAATAAGAACTGAAAAAAAAGTTTGTATCTTGATAATCTGTAATTTATTTTATTTTGTTCAAGGTACATTATCCTCAAATGTCTTACAAATTTTTTGTACTAAAAAAAGTCAGTCCAGGAGATTTTTGCTAGCTTGTTAGTTTGAGCTGAAATAAGTAGGTCTGTCCACTATTACATATAAATAATAGATATTATTATTATTTTAAAGATTTTATTTATTTTAGAGAGAGAGAGAGCGATTGAGAGAACAAGTGGGAGGAGGGGCAGAGGGAGAAGCAGACTCCCTGTGGAGCAGGGAGCCCAACATGGGACTCAATCCCAGGACCCTGGGATCATGACCTGAGCCAAAGGCAGACGCTTAACGGAATGAACCACCCAGGCACCTGATAATAATATTATTAAATGTTTATAATAAATAAGTGAAAATCTATGAAGAAGAAAAAAAATCTCAAGTGCTTAAAAAATAGACATCAAAACCAGAGTGGTAAGCTACAGATGATAATCCAGTTGACCATGATAATTTCAGGCCCAAATATATGCCAAAGGACTGCTTACTGGAGTTTTAACTCACATATTTTATAAGGAGATGTGGTATCTAAATAATACTGCAATAAACATAGGGGTGCATGTATCTTTTCAAATTAGTGTTTTCATTTTATTTGGGTAGATATTCAATAGTGGAATTACTGGATCATATGGTATTTTAATTTAAAATTTTTTTGAGGAAACTCCATACTGTTTTCCACAGTAGCTATACCAATTTATATTCCCACCAATAGTATATGTGGGTTCCTTTTTCTCCACATCCTCACCAACACCTGTTATTTCTCATCTTTTTTATTTAGCCCTTCTAACAGGTGTAAGATGATATCTTATTTGGGTTTTGATTTGCATTTTCCTGATGCTTAGTGATGTTGAGCATCTTTTCATGTCTGTTGGCTTTATGGAGGTCTATTCTTTGAAAAAAAATATCTACTCAGGTCCTCTGCCCATTTTTTAATTGGATTGTTTATATTTTTGGTGTTGAGTTGTATAAGTTCTTTATATATTTTGGATATTAACCCCTTACTGCATATATCATTTGCAAATATCTTCTCACATTCAGTAGGCTGTCTTTTTGTTTTGTTTATGGTTTTCTTCCCTGCACAAAAGCTTTTTAGTTTGATGCAGTCCCAACAGTTTTTGTTTTGCTTTTGTTTCCCTTGCCTGTGGCTCAAATCAAAAACACAAGAAACAACAAGTACTGGCAAGGATGTGGAGAAAAAGGAATCCTCCTGCACTGTTGGTGCGTATCCAAAGTGGCATGACCACTGTGGAAAACAGTATGGAGGTTCCTTAAAAAATTAAAAATGGAATTCCCATATGATCCAGTAATTCCATTACTGGGTATTTACCCAAAGAATATGAAAATACTAAATCAAAAAGATGTAGGCATCCCTTTTTTACTGCAGCATTACTTACAATAGCCAAATTATGGAAGCAGCCTAAGTGTCCATCAATACATGAATGGATAAAGAAGATGTGACACACACACAATGGAATATTACTCTGCATAAAAAGGAATGAAATTATTCCATTTGCAATGACATGGATGGAGCTAGAGAGTATAATGCTAAGTGAAATGAGTCAGTCAGAGAAAAAAATACCATATGATTTCACTCATATGTAGAATTTAAGAAATAAAACAAACAAGCAAAGGAAAAAAGAGAGAGAGGCAAACCAAGACAAAGACTCTTAACTATGGAGAACACCCTGATGGTTACCAGAGGGGAGGTAGGTGGGAGGATAGGTGAACCAGGGGATGGGGACTAAGAAGGGCACTTGTACGGAAGTGCTGAATCACTACAGTGTACATCTGAAGCTAATATAACACTGTATGTTAACTATACTGGATTTAAAATTAAAAAATAAAAAAATAAAATTAAAACAGCATTGAGACACCACTTTTCACCCACCAGATTGGCAGGAGTTTTAAAAAACTGTCAATGTCTAGGGGCACCTGGGTGGCTCAGTCACTAAGCATCTGCCTTCAGCTCAGGTCATGGTCCCAGGGCCCTGGGATGGAGCCCCGCATCGGGCTCCCTGATCAGCGGGGAGCCTGCTTCTCCCTCTCCCACTCCCCCTGCTTGTGCTTTCTCATAATCTCTCTGTCAAATAAATAAATAAAAAATCTTTTTAAAAAACTGTCAATGTCTAGATATCAATAATGTGGGAAATTATACTTTCATATTTGAGTAGTAGGAGTATGAATTATAACTTTATCTGGGAACAAAAGTGCAGCTATCTATTAAAAATAGAAATACATATACTGTGACTCAGAAATTCCAGTTTGAGGTCAGCGAACCTGAAGATAGGTCAACAGAAAATATCCACTTTGCAGATGAGATGGAGAAAGAAAAAAAATATGATGAAAATATTAAGGCATGTGGGACAATACCAAAATGTCATTCATGTAATTAGAGACCCAGGAAAGGAGATAGAGAACAGGGTAGAAAATTTTTTTGAAGATATAATGACCACAATCTTTCTAAATTTGTAAAAATATAAATTTACAGATCCAGGAAGATCAGTGAACCTCAAGTGGGAGAAATATGAAGAAAATCACAGTCAGACAACAATAATGTACAGGGTAAGAATAATTGAATGGAATCTAAGTTTAGCTATTATGAAGGCCAGAAGATAGTAAAACAATATTTTCAAAGTGCTAAAAGGAATAAAAAGCCCTCTCAACCTAGAATTCTATATCCAGCAAAATTAGCCTTCAAAAGTGAAGACAAAGACATTTTCAAATAAAATAAAACTAAGAGAATCTATCTCTAGCATACTTGCCCTACAAGGAATGATACAGGAAGTTCTTTAGATTGAAGAGAAATGATCTGAATGGAAGTGATGCCAGATGGAAATCTGGATCTTTAGGTGGGCATAAAAAGCATTGGTAATAGTAAATAACTGGTAAATATGAAGGAATATTTTTCCTCATAATTTTCTAAGACTACATATGACTATTTTTTTTTTTTAATCAGAGAGAGAGAGAGAGCGCACATGCACAAAAGCAGGGGGAGCGGCAGAGGCAGAAGGAGAAGCAGACTCCATGCTGAGCAAGGAGCCCAATGCGGGGCTCAATCCCAGGACCCCAGAATCATGACCTGAGCCGAAGGCAGACGCTGAACTGGCTGAGCCACCCAGGTGTCCCTACATATGACTATTTAAAGCAAAAATTATAGCATTTTCTTGTGTGTACTGTAAAGTATATAGATGTAATACATATGGAAATTATAGCATTAAGGATGGTGAGGTGATAAATGGGCCTATACAGTACATAACAGCTGGGGCAAGGACCAGTATAATTTTAGTGCTATTGAGGCTGTGACCCCATGTATATCCACAGGTAAGTATGACTTAATAAAATTGAGGTAACACTTACGTTTTGGCAATCTCCCTGAGTGCAAAGGACTGACATCAGTGATTCCATGAGGGTAGATGTTATAAGGCCGGCTTGCTTGATTCTTAAATATAATCTGAAAGTATAAATGAAATACAAGATCAAGTCCTAAAACAACTAGGATCAACAGGAACAGTGTGGCCTATCTCCAGAAAGCAAAAGCTGTCTTATATCCATGTTATAGGGGTTTGAGCCTAGATAAAGTTCAAAATATTTGTTCTTTCCATAAAGTTGCTCAGACAGCTACTTAGGTTTTTTTTTTTTTACTAAAGGCCCCTTTCCATTTCTTTAAAGTTATTTCAATCGTTTCAGGAAGTATTCCTTGCACCTTGTCACACTAATTGAAATTTGAATGTCTGCTGAGGGCACTGCTTCCCCTCAGTCTTATTCCACCATTTGGGTACTAAGTTCCCCAAGAGTGAAGAGGGAAACAGTGACTCAGGTGATAAAATCTTCACTGAATGAGCAGGCATGATAGGAGGACAGTTGATTACAGAACTAAGGAAGGGTGGCAGTCAGTGTTATCTGATTGCATGAGCTTTAAATGGGAGGAAGGATGGAAGAGCAGTAACATGGAAGCAGCAATTAAGAACATTTGAACACGTCAACCCAGTCTCTAGATCTGAGGTTGGGTATGACATGAGGATAAAAAACCAACTTCTGAAAAAACTGAGGGTTTCAGAGGGGAGGGGGTGGGGGGATGGGCTAGCCCGGTGATGGGTATTAAGGAGGGCACGTTCTGCATGGAGCACTGGGTGTTATACGCAAACAGTGAGTCATGGAACACTACATCAAAAACTAATGATGTACCATATGATGACTAATGTAACATATAAAAAAAAAAAATTCCACCTGCATTATTGTCTTAAAACCCACTCATTTGGTAAAACCCAATAAAGAGCTGATTCCTTGCCCGCACTTAAAGCAGCAGAATAATGTAGAAGAAAAATCACACAGCTCTGCAATCAGCCTTTTAAAATTCATGATCACAAATCTCAAATGAGCACTCAAGTTACCTAGCTATCTATTTGGTTTTCCTAGAAATTCACCTTCCCACTTACTTAGTTGATTAATATTTGGTTTCAGATTTTCACTCTCGGGCGCTTATGTTTTCACTGAGAAAGGAATTTCCTTGTCCTCCCATCATCAAATCTACCCACCTATATGCATGTGAAAATCAACTCCTATCTAATGCCAACATCTCTTTGGTACTAGTACACAATAAGGTTACAGCATCTTCCATTTTAAAAACTTCCTTTTGGAACAGAATAGAGAGCCCAGAAACAGACTCTCACATAAATATAGTCAACTGATTATTTTTTTTTTAAAGATTTTATTTATTTATTTGAGAGAGAGAGAATGAGAGATAGAGAGCACGAGAGGGAAGAGGGTCAGAGGGAGAAGCGGACTCCCTGCTGAGCACGGAGCCCGATGCGGGACTCGATCCCAGGACTCCAGGATCATGACCTGAGCCGAAGGCAGTCGCTTAACCAACTGAGCCACCCAGGCACCCTAGTCAACTGATTATTGACAAAGAAGCAGAAGACAATAAAATGGTGCAGATAGTCTTATCAACAAATGGTGCTAGAACAACCAGACATCAACATGCAAGAAAAGAGAGAGAGAGAGAGAGAGAGAGAGAAAGGATCTAGACACAGACCTTACACCTTTCACAAAAATTAACCCCAAAAGAATTACATACCTACATAATTTTTTTTAGAACTGTTCTGTATGTGAGCTATGTCTCTACTTCCCCATTTATTTGCTTATTTAATCATTTATTTACATCAGTAATGATCCATGGATGTTTATTTTATACTTTGGGGTATAATCCAATACTACTTTATTTTGTTGCTCAAATTCTTCCACCTTGGCCATTAGAAGCTCTGAACACTCCTGTGTTCTTTTGACATTGTCCTATTCTTTTATTGGGTACTTTCTTACTATATTAAGAATTATACTGATGTCTCCAATTCTAATCCAGAATCCCAAGATTTATTCTAGCCTTATTTTATTATTACCCTCTCCAACAAGAAATCTGGCTCCCACCAAGTGTCATACATTTACTTAATCTTTGGATAATAACAGTTTTGTTTATTTCTTTCCAATCTGAAAACTTTTTCTCCTAAGAACACTGGCTACGGTTTCTAGTAAAATATCACATAGAGATGTGTTTTATCCTGATCTTTAACAGAAGGATTTCTGAGTTTCACTACCAAGTGTGATGGTGACTATAGGTTTTCTGCAGATCTTTATTAGGATAAGGATGTCCCTTGCATCCCCAATTTCCTATGATTTTTTTATTATGTATTAATTATTTTCTACATATAAGATCATGTCATCTGCAAATAAAGACAGTATTATTTCTTCCTTCCAATCCAAATGCCTCTAATTCCTGTTTTTGTTTTCTGGTTGTTGTTCGTTTTTTGTTTTTTTTGGCTTACTGCACTGGTTTCCAATACAATATTAAATAGAAGTGACAAGAGTAGACCCTTAATTTCTTCCCCAATCTTAGGGGGAAAACAATCTTTCACCATATAATAAATTTTCTTAGATGTTCTTCATCAAATTAAGGACCTTGCCTTCTGTTGCTAGTTCATTGAGACTTTTTTTCATCGCGAATGGGTAGTGGATTTTGTCAAACTGTTTTTCTCCACCTACTATATGATCATGTGCTTTTTGTTCTTTATTTGATTAATATGGTGTATTGCCTTAATATTCATATATTGAACCAACGTTGTGTTATCCTGGGATAAATCCCACTTGATCATGGCATATATTCTTTTTAAATTGTTGCTAGATTTGGTATACGAATGTGTTGTGGAAGATTTTTGTATCTATACTCATGAGGGATATTGGACTATAGTTTTCTTTAAAATTTTGACACTTGTTCTATGGCATAATGGTCTATCCTGGAGAATGTTTCATGTGCACTTGAGAAGAATGTGTATTCTACTGGAAGTGGGTGGACTGTTCTATAGATGTCTGTTAGGCCTAGTTGGTTTATAGATAAAATATTAGCCATTTGTTGATAACTGTTGAATCTGAGTGACGGGTTCAAAGAACTTTATTTTGCTATTCTACCTCTAGGTATGTTTGAAATTTTTCATATGAGAAGTAAAAAATAATCCTCAAATTCTTACATTAATAGAAAAGTTTAATAGGATTCAATAAGATGTTCGAACATAACTTACATAAATCAAAAAAAGAGGTAGATCTATATATCTTGATATGAAATGATACTCAAGATATGTTAAGTTAAAAAAAATCAAGGTACAGAACAATTTACATAGTGCTCATGTTTTTGTTTAAAATATAAACATAAACACATATATATTATACACTATTTCTGGAAGAGGATATTAAAACTGACAGTAATGACTGCCTATCAGACTACGGGATGAGAAGTCTGGGAGGGATGGGCGCCTGGGTGGCTCAGTTGGTTGGGCGACTGCCTTCGACTCAGGTCATGACCCTGGAGTCCCGGGATCGAGTCCCACATCGGGCTCCCTGCTCAGCAGGGAGCAGTTTTGCAGTCATCAAAACAGAGTGGTAACAGATCAATTAAAGAAAACAGATATTAGCAATTTGGTATATAATAAAGGAGGCACTTTTAAATTAGTGAGAAAAGGATCAGTTGGCCTAGTTAGCTCTCATTTGGGAAAATCCTTATTTGACACTATACACTATAACCAAAAGTAACTTCCAGAGCAATTAAAATCCTTATTGTAAAAATAAAACTATAAAAGTATAAAGAATAAAATGTAATAGACTATTTTTATAATCTGGAGGTGATGAAGACATTCCAAGGCAGAAATCATAAATCAAAAATATCCAGAAAAATATAAATAAAAAGACTGATAAAAGATCTTCACTGTAGGGGTGCCTGGGTGGCTCAGTCGGTTGAGCATCTGCCTTCGGCTCAGGTCGTGATCCCAGGGTCCTGGGATCAAGTCCCTCATTGGGCTCCTTGCTCAGCGGGGAGCCTGCTTCTCCCTCTCCCCTTGCTTCTCCCCCCTGCTGATGCTCTCTCTCTGTCAAATAAATAAATAAAATCTTTAAAAAAAAGATCTTGACTGTATAAATACTAAAAATTTTTGTAGGACAAAAGTACAAGTGACAGACTGAAAAAAATATTTGAAAAATAACAATGTGCCAATATCCACACTGCATAAAGCCTTTTACAAATATATAAGCAAGAGACAACTATCCTAATAGAAAACTGGACAAAATTTCAGGCAATTTGCTGAGGGTGTCAGGTAAATAGTCAACAAACATGAAACAGCAATTTCACTACTAATCGGGGAAATGCAAATGAAGACAGTATATAAATACTTAGCTTACCAAATTGGAAAATTTTTCTGAAGGCTTATAATATATATTGTCAATGATGTGGGGAAAGCATACTCACTCTTGGTGAGGGTCTAAATTGGGGTAGAATTGCTGAAGGACTTTGGCACTACCTAACAAAACTCCACATCAGGAAAGGTAGTCTTGTGTGCACAGTCTTTGGAGCCCTACTTGGCTATGTAAGAATGGGTCTTAAGCCTGGGACACCACTGTACCAGGAGCTAAAGAGCCCACACAGCCTATGGCAGGCTTATCACCTTGCGTGGGAGTATCTTTCCTTGTTTCAGTCTCAGTGGGTGGTCCTTTGTTCTGCTTAAGCATGTGCATCAATGACTCTCATGCATACCCTCAGATTTCAGACTCCTTGGGGGAGGAGTTGGGATCCTTCTGTCTCAGCACAAGAGGGGTACACAGAGGCCAACTGCCCTGTGCTGGCTACTGAGGGATATCTGCTAGCCATAGGGGACCCATGCCCACTATTGGAGCTGACCTTGCTCTGTCTCTTGTCTATGTAAGTAGAAGCACTGTTTCATCCAGGGCTTGGTTGCCTTGTGTTTTCCTGGGTGACTCTGCTACCAAGATGCTGTGGGCAGAAGTGTTTGGATTTCTATTCCCAGTGGTTGGCATGTAATATAATTGGAGTCCTCCTCTGGCACTGCGGTAACAGGTTCATGGTGTTCTGCTCAACACTCCATATATAATGATCAGCATCCTTCAAAACATTTTGGAGCAGCTGAGTTGATACAAACAACCATCCATCTCTAAATTGATCGTGAAAAAATAAATCCCTATTTTTTTAAACCACGGCTTATTGAGTATCCTATTCTTTGCAGCATAAGCCTTCTTAATACCCTATATCAAGGGACAGCAAACATTTTATGGAAAGGGCCAGATAGTAAATGCTCTAAACTTTGTGAGTCATTTCTAGTCACTGTCACATGTTTGTCGTATTATTATTATTCTTTTCTTTACAAGTCTTTAAAAAGGTAAAATCCGGGGCGCCTGGGCTCTCTCTCATTCGCTCATTTTCTCAAATAAATAAATAAAATCTTAAAAAAAAAATAAAAAGGTAAAATCCTTCACAGCCTGTCCAAAAACACACCATGAGCCAAATTAGGCTCACAGGCCACAGTCTGATGATTCCTGTACTATATAATTAGTGGAAAAAATTATATAAGGATATGTATCAAAGACCATGTAATGAGCATTTCAAAGGGGTGACAGGTTTAATGGGTGGCATTAAATTTGTATTCTATATACTCATATTTTTAAAACAAATTTATAATCTATATTTATTTGTATAACATAATTTTTAGAAGATAATGTTCAATGAAGCTTTTAGAAACTCAAAATGCTCCAGACTTTGTCTTCATAATTACCCAACCTTATTTCTCTTCCTCAACTTACCAACAGTGTGTCTCCAACTTCTCCATAAAGTAAAGGTCCCAGGATTCCTGATTCATACTGAATCGCTTCACGAGTCTTAAATGTTTCATCTGTGTATGCCATAAATCGGACTTTTTTGTACTTCCTACCAATCCGCTGAGGCCCATTGTTCAAATACAGATTTTTATAACCTCTGCGTGAGACACAAATAGAAGAGATGTTGGGATGGAGAATTCTAGGTAGAGGACAGGTGGCTAAAATCCAGCTCTAAAACAGCTGAAATGATTTAATCGATGAAAAGGCGTGAGAAAAATACAAATACAAAGATACAAGCTATGTTAGTAAGGCTATCTATTATTTGATTCCATACCTGTACCTAACAATAAACATGGCTTGAAGATTTGTTGTTTTGAATAATTGGGAATAACCTTTAAAAATGAGGAAGAGTTCATATCAAGAGTTAAAAGGTGCCTGCTTACCTATCATTGGCGGCGGGGCCTGAGGGAGCATAGTCCCAGTCCTCCTCTTCAGCAGCAATATAGTGCACCCAAGTTTTAGGATGCTTCTTGGCAACTGAGCGGATTTGGATAAAGGGAGAGGAGTTGTCATCATCAAAGCTAACCACGTCCATGTCAGAGTCATAAAGATCACCATAATCTTCCTCTTCTTCATTATTTTTCATCCGTAGTTGGGGTTCCTCTGGGCAGCTATCTACTTTGACATAAGCTTCCATACCACCTGAGGTCAGACAAACCAAACAATGTCAGACTCCTGTAAGACTTGCCTTAACTTCTACAACTTCTTTGTCTCTCATTAGGCCTTCAAGACCCTCTCTTAAGTGTTCCCTTCCCCACACCTATACCCTTATCTTGTCACTCTCCTATAGGGATTACCTCCCCCGTAGCCGGTACTTGCTGGTCTCTTCCTATGATTTTTGCACTCACCATTTCCCTTCTGCCTCACTCTCCTCCGGTATATGTTTTATCCTTCTTTCAAGGCTCACTCATTTGCTCTTATAATATGTATGAATATTTTCCTTCTGGAATTGGCTCTGAACATATCACTCTCCAATTCTCTAATTATAAACAAGTAGACTTGAGAAACTGTATATTTTCAGCATTTGGACGCCTAGGTCAAACCAACTCCCCATTCTGCCAGTTACCTAATGATTTCTATATGTACTCCATTGAATTATGATACAAACCACTGATTTAATAAGTTTACTAGGAAAAATGTCAGTGTAGATATAAATTTTAAGACATTTGAAGTTCATAAAAACATGAAAAGGTACAACTTAGAGTTAAGGAAATATATGTTATATATTTTAAGAGCATGTCTGCCTGTGACTAGTTATAAGCCCTACAGCAAGTCTATTCAACAATTTCAATCTCATCTTTAGCTTTATAATATGTGGATAGTAATAATTCCCACCCAATCTATGCTATAGGGCTATTTTGAAAATCAATACTAAGAAGGCAGACCTATTTACTAGAGGATGGGGAATATGGTAGATTTCAGGAGCAGTAGTCTGGGGTTCATGAGGCTTTAAACATAATTCATTCTAGATCTAAAAATGAAAGGATTGGTCTGCGGTCCAACAAGACAAAGTATTTTTTCTGAAAAAATGGCAATTAAAATCAGTGGGAAAAAGTCAAAATAATAAAACAAAACATACAGTAAGTTCCTCAAACTAGATAACAACCAACTTGCATACAAGTAAATGACCTATTCCTCTGTGCCTATAGGATCAACTTCATTTGTCCCCTAACATCTTGTCAAAAGTCCCATAAAATTATGTAACAGATGAGGAAAAGAGGTCCCTATTCTTCATCACTACAGAGCACTATAAACAAGGTCACTCACAGAACATAAGGAGAAAATGGTGGATGCATGGCAAGATCAAATCTCTTCTCCAAGGCAAGCAAGGAATCTGAAGAGAGGAGTAATACAAGAGTGCTAGAACAAACAAGTGCCGTTAGACACGAAAGATTAGGCCTCCTCAACATTTTTCTCCAACAACCCTCATGGGCCACAACAGAGGAGAAGACAAAGAGGAATGTTAGATTGATCCAACATTAAGAGTTAGCAGAGTAAATATACAAGAAGGAAAATGGGGGTGGGATGATCATGTTATATGAATTTTCAGTCTGTAGCTACAAATGAGGTCACATTAATGATAATCTGGAACCGTATTACTGTCCCAACTTGCTTAGACAGGACCTTTAACCCTTTGCAAAGTCCTCATTAAGAAGTCTTTGAAAACCTCACGTGGTGTTTCACATATGCTCACCAACTTCCACTCCCACATTGCTTCTCCCAGTGTCTGTTATGCCCAACAGGCTCTGTATTTCCCATGTCTCTCATCTCCTTCTAGGTATTGATGGAGTGCCTCCATGTACACCAGTAGTCTGGTGTTTCATACTGAGTACTGCAATATCCTCTGGGCATCACTACTGCTAGCCCGCAGCCCTTATGGTCACAACCCAGACAATGCTGGACTTTTTTTATTTCCTTAAATTTCTCAAAAAACTTGTCTTCAGGGGTGCCTGGGTGGCTCAGTGGGTGAAGCGTCTGCCTTCGGCTCAGGTCATGATCCCAGGTCCTGGGACCGAGTCCCACATCGGGCTCCCTCTTCCACTCCCCCTGCTTGTGTTCCCTCTCTCGCTGTGTCTCTCTCTGTCAAATAAGCAAATAAAATCTTTAAAAAAAACCCATCTCTTTAGCTATGATCTACAATCCCTCTCTCCATAGCACTGAAGCCTAGTTAATGGGATCTGGCTAGGAAACCAATGATATACTGTCCTCCCCACTTTCACCACCTCATTTGTCCCTAAAATGTCTCCCCTCTGCTATTATAGTCATTTAAACTAAAAATTCACCAGTACTACTAACACTCAAGCCCTCTTACAACCAAGGTAAAATCTTATAATGGACAGTGGACAGTAAAAGAAGAGCTGAATATTTATAATACTCATTTTTAAGATCAACAGATATTACCATGTTGGTGGGAAGGGATATGACAAAACAGTAGAAACTGGCCAAAGTCCATCAGGAATGTCTGAGCAGTAAGGAAAGTTACTGATGAGATCTCCAAGGAGGCCTGGCGATGGTTCCTCACAAGAAATGTGTGACCTTCTAGAAAAATTGAGTGCACTTCGGGGGTGGTGCCCATTCCAATCACATGCCAATAGACTGATCTCTTGTGACATCCAGTCAGACCTGTAACATGGGAAAATAAGACAGTTATGGTCAAGAAGTAGAGAATTTGAAATGGAAAACACTTTGTAGGATAGGATAGACAAATTGACCTTCAAATTTTATTACTAACTTGGAACCAAACTTTCCGAGGATGCTGGGATACTGCCAAACCAACAGCTCTTGCCAAGGTCAGCAATGAGTGTCTCGTGCAGCTAAATCCAATGGACACTTTTCAATAATCTGCACCTGGTAACCACTCATTCCTTCTTGAGATTCTCTTCCTCCCTTGTCCTCTGTGCCAACACCTCTCTGGGTTTTGTTCCCCTGTTGTTTAGATAGCTCCCTCTTCTGCCTCCTTTCCTGACCCTTCATTAAATGACGGATCACCTAGGACTCAGCCCTAGGCTTATTCTCTTGTTAATAAATATTTTCTCTTTGAACAATATCAAAATTATGCAAGTGAGTTATTCTTCTCACCACTCTCACTTCCTAAATCCAGTCTGATACTAATTATGGCAATATAATTGATAATACTAATATTTACTGAGCACTTGTTTTATATCAAGCACTGTCCAAACTGTTTTACAAGTTTTAACTTATTCAACTCCAGTAACCATATGAATGTAGAAACTATTGTTATCAGGAGAGGATCCTGATGCCCAGCTCAAATTGGAACCCAAGCAGCTGTATGTTTAGATCTTACACTGTAAACTACTAGGGCACAGCTGTCTCATATTTTGCCTCCTGAAACTTTCAAATATACATATTTTTTCACCATCATTACTACCCCCACATCTTAATTCTTGTCTGTCTCAAATCCAAACTCTCTAGTAAGGCCTAGAAAGCCCTGAATGGTATTGCCAATTTAATTCTCATGCCTTTGTATGGGACCTGTTTTTCCCAGGGGAAGCTTTAACATTTTCTCTTTGTTCTCTGAAATTCCACAATCGTAATTTTGTGTGGGGATCTTTTTTTATTTATCCTGCTGGGAAATCTGAGTATGAAAACTCAAATATTTTCATCCTTAATACTTTCTTCTATAATTTCTTTGATTTTTAAAATGTTTTAAAATGTATTCCAAATCTCTTTTTGTTTTACTTTCTGGAAGATTTTCTCTATTCTAACTACCTTCTATTGAGTTTGTATTTTCACAATAATATTCCTAACTTTTGTTAGCATACTCTTGGTTTGATTGTTTCTTTTCATAGAATCATATTATTACTATATTGATGCAGTATCTTCTTGAATCTTTATGAAAATACTAAGTAGACCTTTTGACAAGTTTTCTTCTAAGTATTATCTCTTTTTCTTCTGGGATTATTATTTTTTTGTTTATCTTTGCATATCCCTTTCATGTTTCAGGTTTCCCTTAAATATTTGTTCATCCTTGGCTGTTCACCTATATTTAAGCAGAAGGAAAGAGAAATCTGTGAGCTCTGTGTACATGGGCAGGCCTTCATTTTTAGGTGACTGGAAGAAGAATCAGCCACTTCAGTTTAAGACCCCACCAGAGGCCAGAATTCAGTGGGCTTTCCTCTGGGGATACAGAGCTGTCTGACGAGAACCAGAGAAGAGAGCTCTGGTGGTGAATGCAGAAGACCCTAAGGATTCTTTTTTTTTTTTTTTTAGATTTTATTTATTTATTTATTTGAGAGAGTGCATGAGAGAACATGCATGGAGGAAGGGGCAGAAGGGGAGGGAAAGGTTCTCAAGCAGATTCCCCGTTGAGGGTGGCACACAAAGCAGGGCTCCACCTCATGACCCTGAGATAATGACCTGAGCTGAAACCAAGGGTCAGACGCCTAATCGGCTGCGCCACCCAGGCGCCCTGACCCTGAGGATTCTTGAGCAGGCGTGTACATACCTGGCAGAGACCTGTTTATATAGCCATTGACTGTGTGCATTTCATGCTGGGCCTGAGCAGATGCAGGATCCAAAGCCTGTGTCAAAGACTCATTTGTTTCTGAGTGCCAACTTTTCCCTGATGAGAGAGGAGGCAAATATAGGGCCAGCTAAGTGTCTGTCTCATGAATCACTCTCCCTCTTTCCTTTCCTCCCTCCCAAGGGGCAAAGAGTGCTCACACCTTAGGCATTTTTGTCAGCACAGTAGGCATGGATGACTTGCCCTCAAAGTCAGTAAGAGAAAGGCAGAAGACAATTACCAAAAGGCAGACATTTCTTGCTCAAATTGATTATCTCTCCCTATATTTGTCCATGACAGTAGATGGGAAGGGATGATGGCAAATGATAACTAGAAGGGAGAATATTGGTTAGTTTGTGCCATGAGGACTTCATTCTATTCATTCACTGACTCATTTAAAAGGGAGCAGATGGAAATCATCTTAGAAAAGGGCTCTCAGTCCCTGTCCTCGTCCTAATTGCTTCATTCAGATTGTAGTAATGAATGAATGAAAACTCAAAAACCTGAAAGCTTTCGACCCACCTCCCTGAAATTAAGTTCCTTTATCTGTTCATCTACTGATTCGTTCATTCATCCAAACATATTTACTGAGCACTACTGAGTGCTAGGCCCTGAGGACAGAGAAGACAGTCTCTGCCTTCAAGGTGCTTACAATTTAGCTTGAATAGAGAAATTGACAATTATAACAGAGTGCAGAGTAATGTAACAGAGATTAGAACAGGCTAATACAGATGCAGAGAGGAGAAGGGACTTCACTTTACTTGAAGGGAAAGGGATATAAAATCAAAGAAGCAGGCAATGATGATTTAGTGTGGTAAGGAGGAAACTCCAGGTGCTGTGGAAACGTATAAATGTAAAATGCAGACTGGAAGGAGAAGGAAAAACTTAACTTGGTGTGAAGGTGCAGACAGGCTTTCTAGGCAGAGGTAACAGCATAAACAAGGGTCTGGATGCAAGAAAGAGCATGGCATGTTTCAGTGTGATACAAACTGTGTTCAGGGTGGCTGGGGCCTGTACAGTGAGGCTAGACAGGTCATCAGTAATAATGGAGTGTTGGGGACACGAAAAGACAGGGAGACTAGTCAGGAGAGGGATGATGAGGTCCTCAATTCAGAAGAGGCAGTGTGGGAGGATAAGATGGGAGAGAAGATGATCATGCTGTTGCTTATATTAGGAGGAGGAGGTGGCAGAAGTTCTGCACCACATAATGTTCTAAGTTACTTAATTTAACTCACTTACTTAATCCCCACAACTATTCTATGAAGAAAGTATTATTATTTCAATTTTCAATTTGAGGAAACTGAGACACAGGGAGTTTAAGTAACTTGCCACATAGAAGCACACAGCAGAATGCTGGTTGCCAGGAGCAGAGGGGTGGGGGAAATGGGGAATTATTGTCTAAAGAGTACAAACTCTCAGTACTTTTTTAAAGATTTATTTTTTTTAGAGAGGGGGAGGGGAAGAGAGAGAGGGGGAGAGAAAGAATCCTCAAGCAGACTCTGCGCTGAGCAGAGAGTCTGACACAGAGGCTCAACCTCATAATCCTGAGATCATGACCTGAGACAAAGCCAAGAGTTGGACACTCAACCAACTGCACCACTCAGGTGCTCCCAAACTTTCAGTTTTAAGATGAGTAAGTTCCAGGGATCTACTATACAGGTGTGATAACTACAGTTAATAATACTGTATTGAACATTGAAAATATGCTAAAGGAGTAGGTTATAGGTGCACTCATCACACACAAAAAATGGTAACTATGTGAGGAGACATATATTGATTAGCTTGACTATAGTAATCATTTTATTATCTTTTGTATATCAAATCATCATGTTGTATCCCTTAAATATTCATTTTTTTAAAAAAATTTGTCTTAAAAAGACACATGAAAAGATGCTCAACCAAATTACTAATCATCAGGGAAATACAAATCAAAACTGCAATGAGATACCACCTCACATTACTCAAAAATGGCTAGTATCAAAAACACAAGAGATAACAGGTGTTGGTGAGGACAAGGAGAAAAAGGAGCCCTTGTGCACTATTGTTGGCAGTGCAAACTGGTGCAGACACTGTGGAAAACAGTATGGAGGGCCCTCAAAACATGAAAAATAGAACTACTCTATGATCCAGTAATCCACTTCTAGGTATTTACCCCCAAAATACAAAATCACTAATTCGATGGGATATATGCACCCCTATGTTTACTGCAGCATTATTTACAATAGCCAAGATATGGAAGCAGCCGAAGTGTCCATCCATAGATCAATGGGTAAAGAACAGGTAAAGAACACCTGTTCTTTATGTGTATATATGTATGTGTATATATATATATATATACACATAAAAGAATGAGATCTTCCCATTTGCAGCAACATAAATGGACCTAGAGAGTATTTCACTTATGCTAAGTGAAATAAGTCAGAGAAAGAGAAATACTGTATGGCTTCACTTTTATGTAGAATCTAAAAAACAAAACAGACAAAGCAGAAATAGACCCACAAACACAGAGAACGAACTGGTGGTTGACGGGGGGGTTGGGAGATGGGCAAGTAGGTGAAGGGGTTAATGAAGTACAAACTTCCAGTTATAAAACAAGTAAGTCACAGGGATGAAAGTACAGCCTAGGGAATATGGTCAATACTACTGCAATACAGTTATCATGGTGAGCATTTCATAATATATATAATTGGATCATTATTCTCTACACCTGAAACTAATAGATGTCAACTATACTTCAACTTAAAATCTTTTTAAAATTTAAATTAAAAAATAAATAAAATTTTATAAAAAAAGATAGGGGAGGGGGTGGGGGGATGGGTTAGCCCAGTGATGGGCATTAAAGAGGGCACATTCTGCATGGAGCACTGGGTGTTATATGCAAATAATGAATCATGGAACACTACATCAAAAACTAATGATGTAATGTATGGTGACTAACATAGGAAGTATTTAAAAATTAGAGCTAAAAGTCTTTGTTAATGGATTTAATGAGGGGGATAAGCCCAGCCTGTTACCCAGCTCCTCTATCTTCTTACCTGATAGCTCCCAAAGGAACTCAGGCTGTATTTTTTCTGAAAATTCAGTTCCACCCCCACTTCCTTCATTCCTGAACAGTAGTTTATGATCTTTCTATAATCACTTCCTCTGGACAATAGCAGCCCTCATTCTCAAATACCAGATTAAATTAATATATTCTATTTTTTTAGGAGACCCAAATTCAGATTGCAGCTCACTAACCTTCATCAAATACAGCAAAAAGTAGTACAAATTCATGCAAGGTCTGTGTCCTTTCTTTGGCCAGACTCCCTGAAAAAGAAGTGAGAACATTTATCTTCTATTGAGAATCCTGTCATAGGAAATCAACACTAGGAGGAGACATCACTTCATCTACTGCTTTGTCTCTTGGTCTCCTGTTAACTTTACCATAGTATTGCTTCTTTGGTGTCAGGTGTCCTATACCAGTTCTTCTAATACTATTTGGGTTAAACGACTTTTTTCATTTCAAACTTGTTGCAGACCAGTACTTATGTAAAATACAAGAAAAATGAATTACTCAGAAAATGAAATTAAAGAAACATGCAAAATATAAGCCCATATAATCATATTTCATATAAGTATATATACATGTATTCAGAACAAACTTAAAAGAGGAAAATTGCAAAAACTGTAAATGCTGTTCATGGGAAGTGTGCACATAGGCAAATATAAATAATTTCTATTATGCTTTTAACTTTTTTTACTTTTGCAAAGTATTATGACCAAAATAACAATGATCGATATTAAACACCTATAATCACACTTTAAATGAACACCATGTATACCAGTATTTCAAGCTGTTAATGTTACAAATGAACTTGCTTCATGCTTTAATTACTGAATTTGTTGGTTGTCTTTCTTAGCATTGTATTTCTTCATTTGATTGGGAAATTTTCTTTGCAGGCTTACTTTAAGCAGGAAGATTTTTGTTTATGACATTCTCCTTTTTTCTTGTACCCTTGACACTTGAAAGTAAATCTTCGATTGGACGAAGAAAGTAACTCACCTATACAAATTTAATATATTAGTAAAGCTGTCTGAAAACATTTGAATTCTTTTTATTTTCAAAATTACCAAGTAGTGAAACTGACTTTTACTTTTGGTGTATAAGTCTATGGGTCTTAACACAGGTATAGATTCATGAAACCACCAACCATCAGGACACAGAACAGTTCCAACATCCCAAAAAACTCCCTCCTTCTATCCCTTTAGAGACACATATATAGTCATAGTGAGAGAGAGAGTCATACATATGGTCATACCCTTGGCAACCACTGATCTGCTGCTCCCCATTGCAATATATTTGAATTTTTGAGATTGTCATATAAATGGAACCATACAATATAGAACCTTCTGAGATTGGCTTTTTTACTCAGTATAATGCCTTTGAGATTCATCCATTTTGTTGCATCTATCACTACTTCATTTTGTTTTATTGATGAGGAGTATTTCATGGTATGGATGTACCACAGTTTGTTTAACCATTCACTTGCTGAAGGGCATTTAGGTTGTTTCCAGTTCTTGGCTATTACAAATAAAGCTGCTGTGAACATTAATGTACGTACAGATTTTTATGTGAATATTAAGTTTTCATTTGTCTAGGGTAAATACTCAGGAATGGAAATTAAATATATATTTACCTTTATAAGAAATTGCCTATAATTGTGACAACAATTCCAGTATACATGGGTTTTTCCCTACGACCAAGCAATTCTGTGACATCAGCTGGGTGTCCTACATTTTAACTTAATTCTGAAACTATTTCCCTGGAGATGGTGTAGATTCCCACAGGTTAAGGGCTCAGTTCTACCAGACTTCCCTGCACCCATATGTCAGATGCCAATCCAAAGTCCAGGTCATCACCTGTGCTTCTGACCAACCTCTACAGATCAGAGGTTCCCAAAACTCCCTTCTTGGGTTCCATTAATTTGCTAGAGCAGCTCACAGAACTCAGAGAAACATGTTACTTAGTAGATCACCCGTTCATTCAAAAAAGATATATAGCTAAGAAACAGCCAGATGGAAGAGATGTGTAGGGCAAGTTATGGGGAAAAGATGCAGAGCTCCCATGCCCTCCTCCAGGTATGCCACTTTCCTCAAATCTCCTGGTGTTCACCAACCTGGAAGCTCTTTGAACCCCGTCCTTTTGTTCGTTTTTTTTTTTTTTTTTTTTTTTTACGGAAGCTTCATTACATGCCATTGGCAACTGAACTCAATACTCAGTCCCTCTCTCTCCTCCTGGGGGAGGGGGGGTTTAGAGTGGGTGAGACTGAAAATTCCAGCCCTCTAATCACCTGGTTGACCCTACTGGCAATCAGCCCCCATCCTTAGGTATATGGTCCAAAAATCACCTCACTAACAAAACAAAAGACATCTTTATTGCTCTCATTATAGAAAAATCTCAAGGGTTTTAGAAGCTCTGTCAGGAAGGAGATGAAAACCAAATACATATTTTATTTAAATCACAATATTAAACTGCCAAACTGTTTTCCAGAGTGGCTGTACTGAATCCCCAGCAACAATGTATGAGACTTCCTGTTGGTCTGCACTCTTGACAGCATTCTTAACAATTTTTTAAACTATTACATTAGGTATTCTAATAGATATGTAGCAGTATTTCATTGTGGTTTTAATATGCATTTCCCTAGTGACCAATGATACTGGACATCTTTTCAGGTATTTATTTGGCACTTGTATATCTTCTTTGGTGAATTATCTGTTCAAATATTTTGCCCATTAAAAAATGGATTTTTTTCCTTATTGTTGAGATTTGAGAGCATGTTTTATAAAATAAAATGTTTTATATATAATACATACATATATAATACACATGTATAATACATATGTAAAACATATAAAAATATCTTGGTTATTGTGAATATATTTTTTATATATATCACATCAGTCCTTTGCCAGATATGTGACTGGCAAATATTTCCTCCCAGTCTGTAGTTTGTCTCTTCATTCTAACAGTGTTTTTTTGGGGCGCCTGGGTGGCTCAGTTGTTAAGTGTCTGCCTTCGGCTCAGGTCATGATCCCAGGGGCCTGGGATCGAGCCCCACATCGGGCTCCCCGCTCAGCGGGAAGCCTGCTTCTCCCTCTGCCACTCCCCCTGCTTGTGTTCCCTCTCTTGCTGTCTCTCTGTCAAAAAATAAATTAAAAACATCTTTAAAAAAAAGTGTTTTTTTTTTACAAAAGCAAAAATTATTAATGTTGATGAAGTCACACTTATCAATTTTTTCTTTTATGGACTGTGTCTGTGATGTTTTCTCAGAAGCCTTCTCTTAACCCCAGGTCATGAAGGAGGTGCTCACAGGTCATGAAGACAAATGTTATGGTTGTACATATTACATTTAAAGCTACAATTCATTTTGAGTAACTCTTTGTATAACTAGTGAGGTCTAAGGATCATTGCATATAGATGTCCAACTGTTCCAACACCATTTGTTGAAAAGACGCTTCCTTTGAGTTGTTTTTGCACCAAATCAATTGGGCTCACTTGTGTGGATCTATTTCCGGACTTTTATTCTATTTCATTGGTCTACAGGTCTATTCCGTTAACTAACACATTATGATTACAGCAGCTTTGTAGTAAATTGCAAAACTGAGTAGGATTATTACTCCAAATTTATTCTTTTGCAAAATCATTTTAGCTAATCTAGTACCTTTTTAAAAAATATTTTATTTATTTATTTATTTGACAGAGAGAGACACAGCGAGAGAAGGAACACAAGCAGGGGGAGTGGGAGAGGGAGAAGCAGGCTTCCCACCGAGCAAGGAGCCCGATGCGAGGCTTGATCCCAGGACCCTGGGATCATGACCTGAGCCGAAGGCAGATGCTTAATGACTGAGCCACCCAGGCGCCCCGCTAATCTAGTACTTTTGCTTTTTCATATAAATTTCCGAATCAGCTTGTCTGTGACCACAAAAAAATCTTGCTGAGAATCTACAGACTGGGGAGAACTGAGATCTTTACTATACTGAATCTTACAGTACACAAACAGTATGTCTCTCTGTTTGACTTCTTTCACTTTGTAGTTTTCACCATACAGACAGTGTACATGTTTTGTTAGATTTATACCTAAACTTTCCATTTTTGGAGCTATTGTTAACATTCTTTCTTACATTTTGGTTTCCAATTATTCATTGAAAGTATATAGAATACTAATTTTTTAGAGATTTATTTAAATTCCAGTTAGTTAACATACAGTGTAATATTACTTTCAGGTGTACAATATAGTGATTCAACACCTCCATACAGCACCCAGTGCTCACCACAAGTGTCCTCCTTAATCCCCATCACCTATGTAACTCATCTCCCCCACTTCTCTCTGGTAACCATCAGTTTGTTCTGTAGTTAAGCCTGTTTCTTGGTTTTCCTCTCTGTTTCCTTTTTTCCCCATTTGCTCATATGTTTTGTTTCTTAAATTTCACGAGTGAAATCATATGGTATTTGTCTTTCTCTGACTTATTTCGCTTAGCATTATACTCTCTAGCTCCATCCCTGTCATTGTAAATGGCAAGATTTCATTCTTTTTTATGGCTGAGTAACAGTCCACTATATAATAACATTCCTACACACACACACACACACACACACATCTTTTTTATCCATTCATCAATTGATTTGATGAATGGATGGGGCTCTTTCCATAATCTGGCTATAACAGATAATGCTGCTATAGACACTGGGGTGCATATATCCCTTCGAATCTGTATTTTTGTATTCTTTGGGGTAAATACCTAGTAGTGCAATTGCTGGGTCACAGGGTAGTTCTATGTTTCACTTTTTGAGGACCCTCCATACTGTTTTCCAGAGTGGCTGCACCAGTTTGCATTCCCACCAATAGTGCAAGAGGTTCCCCTTTCTCCGCATCCTCACCAACATCTGTTGTTTCCTGTGTTGTTGCTTTTAGCCATTCTGACAGGTGTGAGGTGATATCTCTTTGTGGTTTTGATTTGCCTTTTCCTGATGATTAGTGATGTTGAGCACCTTTTGATATACTTGTTAACCATATCTATATCTTTTTCCCCCCAGAAATATCTATTCACATCCTTTGCCCATTTGGGGAATTCTGAAGGGGAATAAAAAGAGAAATTCTCCACCAGTTTGGTGGTACTTTAAATTCTGATGCCTTTTCCTGACCTATTTGTTCTATTTGATTTTTAGGATTCTCAAATGGCTGGCTATGCATTTTGTCAAGGTTCTATAGTTGAGCTAATGGGGGATAAAGGGTGGTATATGTTTCTTCCATCTTATCTAAAACTAGAACCTCTGTTGACTTTTTTTTTAAAGATTGTACTTTTTAAAAAATTTACTGAATTTTTAAATTTATTTATTTTAATTTTTTAATAAAGATTTGACTTTTAAGTAATCTCTATACCCAATGTGGGGCTCAAACTTAGAAGCCCGAGACCAAGAGTTGCATGCTCCACTGACTGAGCCAGCCAGGTGCCTCTGTGTTGACTTTTTAAGTCAATTTTCTGCCAAATAATAATCCTTTTAATTTTAAATTTATTTATTTATATTTTATAGGTAAACATGTTTTGATGATTTTATTTATTTATTTATTATTTTTTAAGTAGGCTCCACATCCAGTGTAGAGCCCAACATGGAGCTTGAACTCACGACCCTGAGATCAAGACCCAAGCTGAGATCAAGAGTTGGATGCTTAACTGAGACACCCAGGTGCCCCGATGATTTTATTGTTTTATTAAACTTTGTATCTCACAAATAACACACTGTGGTTGAGCACTTTGTCATTAATTATGCCTATGAAACGGAACTTATTATATAAGAGATAATACTTCCAAATGAAACTAGTACAAATTCTTCTGGTCGTCTTCTATTCCCTCCCCTCTTGTTCTTTTGGAATCATCATCATCATCATCACCCAGAAATGGTGGTTCATGTTCACAAATTCTTTGCTTATCCTCCCATCAAAAGGTGGAGTCTAATTCCCCTCCCCCTTTGTGTGCTGGCCATAGTGATTCATGCTAACAAACACAATGAGGCAGAAGGGATGCTGTGTAACTTGAGGCCAGGTTAAAAAAGGGACCATATAAAAGACTGCATGAGCCACCACATAAAAGATCTGGCTACTAAGGAGAAAGAGAAGACAAGCCAAAGACTGAGAGAAAATATTTACAAAAGACATAATCTGATAGACTGTTATCCAAAATATACAAAGAACTCTTAAAACTCAATAAGAAAACAATCTGATTTAAAAATGGGAAAAAGACCTGAACAGACACCTCAGCAAAGAAGATATACAGAGGGCAAATAAGCATATAAAAACATGCTTCACGGGACACCTGGGTGGCTCGGTCAGTTAAGCATCTGACTTTGGCTCAGGTTATGAACTTGGGGTCCTGAGATTGAGCCCCATGTCAGGCTCCCTGCTCAGCAGGCAGTCTGCTTCTCCCTCTCCCTCTGCCCCTCCTCCCTGCTTGTGTTCTCTCTCTCTCTCTCAAATAAATAAATAAAAATTTAAAAATAAAAACATGCTTCACATCATATGTTATCACGGAAATGCAAATTACAGCAATTTGATACCACTACATACCTATAAGACTGGCCAAATTCCAAAATACTGGCAATACCAAAAGCTGGTGAGGATGAGGAAGAGCAGGAAGTCTCATTTGTTGCTGCTGGGAATACAAAATGATACAGCCACCTTGGAAAACAGGTTGGCAGTTTCTTACAAAAGAAAGCATACTCTTGCCATAGGCTCCAGCAACTGTGCTCCTTGGCATTTACCCAAAGGGGTTGAAAACTATGTATGCATACAAACCTGCACATGGATGTTTATAGCAGCTTTATTCGTAACTGTTAAAACTTGGAAGCAACCAAGATGTCCTTCATTGGTGAGTAGATAAATAAACTGTGGTCCATCCAGACAACAGAATATTATTCAGTGCTAATAAGAAAAAAGCTATCCAGGGGCGCCTGGGTGGCTCAGTCGTTAAGCATCTGCCTTCGGCTCAGGTCATGATCCCAGGGTACTGGGATCGAGCCCCGCATCAGGCTCCCTGCTCAGCAGGAAGCCTGCTTCTCCCTCTCCCACTCCCCCTGCTTGTGTTCCCTCTCTCGCTGTGTCTCTCTCTGTCAAATAAATAAATAAAATCTTAAAAAAAAAAAGAAAAAAGCTATCAAGCCATGAGAAGACATGGAGGAAGCCTAAATGCATATTACTAAGTGGAAGAAGCCAATATAAAAAGGTTACATACTGTATAATTTCAACTATTTCACATTCTGGAAAAGGCAAAACTATGGAGACAATTTAAAAAATCAGTGGTTGCTAGGGGGTGGGACAGGAAAGGATGAATAGGTGGGGACACAGAGGATTTTTAGAATAGTGAAACTATTTTATATGATACTATAATGGTGGATACATGTCATTCTACATTTGTCCAAACCTGTAGACTGCAAACCAACAAGAGTGAACCCTCATGTAAAGTATGGACTTTGGTTGATAATGATATGTCAGTGTAGGTTCACCAGTTGTAACAGCCATACCACTCTGGTGCAGGATGTTGATAGTGGGGCAGGCTGTGTGTGGGTGGTGGACAGGTGGTATTTGGGAATTCTCTGTACTTTCTGCTCAATTTTGCTGTAAACCTAAACTACTCTAAAAATATAGTCCATTTAAAAGGAAAAAAACTTCTGGCTACCCTGTAGCTCCCATGCTGAAAAGACCCTGTGGAAAGCTCCAGCTATTTGAGTTTCCAAGCCCACGTGCCAGACATGTGAATAAAGTTTCATTCGGGATGACCCTGGCTCCAGCACTATTTGACTACAGCCTCATTAGAAATCCTCAGACAGTGGGCTACAAGAGGACTGCAGATCCAGCTGTCATTCTGAGAGGTAGAGTGGCTCATATAAGGTCTCCAGTCTGGCCAGGGATCTGATGCTGTTGGTTTTTTTTTTTTTTTTTAAAGATTTTATTTATTTATTTGATAGAGAGAGAGCACAAGCAGGAGGAACAGCAGAGGGAGATGGAGAAGCAGGCCCCCTGCTGAGCAGGTAGCCCGATGTGGGGCTCAGTCCCAGGACAATGGGATCCAGACCGAGCCACCCAGGTGCCCCAGGTTTAATTAAATTTAAGATGATTTTTAGAATAACAGTTATAAATGTTTGCTTTTCTCCTATTTTTTTTAAAGTAGGCTCCACACCCAGCGCAGAGCCCAATGGAGAGCCCAATGTGGGGCTCGAATTCACAGCCCTGAGATTAAGACCTGAGCTGAAATCAACAGTTGGACTTAACTGACTGAGCCACCTAGGCACCCTGCTTTTCTCCAATTTTTAAATGCTTTTGAGATACAGATGACACAGTTGGATGTGTTTATCTCCAGAAAGCTTTCAGGGAACTTAACACAAAATTTACAAAAGGTACTACTGAGATAGCCCACTGAATGTAGTATTTTCTTTCCATGGGCATGTTGCTAGGGAAAAGAAACCTCCTTTAAATGGAAGAACACAAATGCTTTAATAATTGACCCAGATGTTTATACTTCCATGCTTATTTGAGTCCTACCCTTTCTCACACTTACCTTCTTTGCAAACCAGCAGGGCTCCAACGAGGCCTGAATTCAGGTCTTTCACCAGGTCCACATGAGAAAAATATGAGTAGGTGAGACATGGTGGATCAGAGGCCATTGGACCGTTCTCTTTCAGGACCTGCCAGACATAGGTATGGCTTTCACCAGGAATGACTTTATCATCTTCCTTCTCCTTTTGGCTGGTCTGATCCTCATATTCAGCACCTAAGCAAGAAGGGATAAAATTGTCCTTTCCATACCCACTGTTCACTCAAGGAAACATAGCAAGTTTATTGTTATCAGTAGATTCTATCAGTAGCAAGAAATAGACTTTCTGCAACTTAATTTGGAAGACTATCAAACAGCCTCATATATTCCAGAGAAGTTGTAGACCACTAATGCAAGCATGAGGGGTTGAGTGGTTCTCACTGTGACCTCCAGATTCTAACCAATAATATTGCTTCCATCATTGCATCTTTTTACCTAGCTCACATCAATTTAACTCAACAGACATACATTGGTTATGTACTTTGTCCCAGACTCTCTAATGAGTAATGGTCACAGAAAGATGAGATACAGAGATTTTAAAAAAAATTTTTTAGAGGGGGCGTGGCAGGGTAGGGGCAGAGGGAAGGGGTGAAAGAGAATCTTACGCAGACTCCACACCCAGCACGGAGCCTGACACAGGGTTTGATCTCGCGACCCTGAGATCATGATCTGAGCCAAAATCTAGCATCTGATACTTAACCAACTGAGCAACCCAGGTGGCCCTTTTTAAAAATGTTTTTAACTTGGTTCTTCTTTGGAGGAGCAGATCACATCAGGGGCAGATATTTTCTGGCTGTCTCATGCTTAGTGATGTTAAAATTAACCCCTGGATTAGTTTGATACCTCGATTCTAAATTGAGCACTATATGTGTTCATTGTTAATGAAGTATCTTTGCTTCTAGGTCATTTCAGTGGACAGAAATAGAAACTATTTAAAGGCACTGACATAATGCCTTATACTTCTGTTGAAACATTTTTCTAGAAACTTCACTATAACTTCCTGGATTTATAATGGTCTCTGGAGTTCCAGAGCAGCCCAAAGCATTCAGGAGGCTCTTCATTTATACCTTATCCCACAACATCTATACATCTTACAGAGGGACCTCTCTAACAGAGCAGTACAAGAGACCCTTGCACTGCCCCTACTCTGCCTATACTTTTACTACAAACTTTCAGCAGCCAAAGGCTACCTCCAAAGTACAGGTGGGTAGTCCCCACTCTGAAGTCAGCCTTCCTGGGGCATAGGGACACCCTCTTTAGTGTGCACTAGGTACTACTGGCTTCATCCAGAAGCAACATCAGACCAACACCTTGGCAGAGAGTGGTAGACATTTTTAAAAACCTGAGTTGGCATCTGGGGAGGAGTGTGTGTGTGATCATGGACTGATATTAAATTCTAGGTAGTAGATACATTTGGATAGGGAGGAAGGGAATCAGAAGGGATACATAAAGGGATTCAACTGTATAATGTTTAATTTCTTAAAGTAAAGATGGCAAAATATTTTTATTTTTTAAAAAAATTTTAAAAGATTTTATTTATTTATTTGACAGAGAGAGATACAGTGAGAGAGGGAACACAAGCAGGGGGAGTGGGAGAGGGAGAAGCAGGCTTCCTGCTGAGCAGGGAGCCCAATGTAGGGCTCGTTCCCAGGACCCAGGGATCATGACCTGAGCCGAAGGCAGACTCTTAACGACTGAGCCACCCAGGCGCCCCAATGGCAAAATATTAAGATTTGGCAAAGTAAGGGGCATCTGGGTGGTGTAGTTGGTTAAGTGCCCAACTCTTTGTTTCGGCTCAGGTCATGATCTCAGGGTTGTGGGATTGAGTCCCATGTTGGGCTCTGTGCTCTCTAATAAATAAATCTTTAAAGAAAAAAAATAGGGGCACCTGGGTGGCTCAATCAGTTGGGCGTCTGCCTTCAGCTTGGGTCATGGTTTCAGCAATTGAGCCCCGCATCAGGCTTTCTGCTCAGCAGGGAGCCTGCTTTACCCCGCCTCTGCCTGCCTGTCTGTCTACTTGTGATCGCTCTGTAAAATGAATGGATGAAATTGGGCTCCCTGCTCAGCGAGGAGCCTGCTTCTCCCTCTAACCCTCCCCCCCTCATGTACTCTCTCTCTCTCTCATTCTCACTCTCCCAAAATAAAAATAAAGAAATCTTTAAAAAAAAAAGAAATCTTTAAAAAAAAAATAAGATTTGGCAAAGTGAGGTGATGGTTACATGTTTGTGTGCTATATTATTTTCTGTACCTTTCTTTGTTTGAAGGATTTCATTAAGAAATGAACATCCTTTTGCCTAATAGTAGGTTGGGAAAGAGGTGTGGGAGGTTTGATGAGAGGCCAAGAATGTGTAAAACACTACAGCTGTCTTGGGGAGAGGGACAGTGAATGGACTGGGAGAACTGTAGAAGTAGGATGGCCAGGTAGTACTGAGGTGAGGTATTGTGAACTTAGTGATACAATTTTGTGTGGTTGTATAGTTTTGCGTCAACTATGGCTGTTCACTTGGTTGCTAGTAAAGTAGGTGGAGAACAGCTTTAACCAGGATAGTGATTTAGCCAAGTGAATAGAATGGAGATCAAGGAGGCCAGGAACTTCTGAGTGCATGCAAGGGCGCCATGTCTGTGATGTGCCAGGGCATCTAAGCTGGGCAAGGAGGGAAGCAGTACCAGTGGATAGTAGATTCCAATGAGAATGAATAGCTGTTGGAATGGGTAGTGAGAAAATGAGATTTTGGGGCTGCTCAGGTTGCTAATAACAGTCTATTCTTCAATGAAGACAAAAGTGATTTGTGAACACCAGCTAAAGTAGGTGGTACCTGGAAAAAGGTATTGTGCACGGCCCTTAAAGTCTACTATCTATGAATGCGTATTATCTTTGGAAGATCTCTGCCTCCATCAGAGTCTTATCTCAGCTTATACACCAGCTACCTGCAAATATTCTAAACAGAAGGTGTTCTGTGTAATTTTCACTTTCTATTATATGAGGAATAGCACAGTTGTGACATTTAAGAGTTCAGGGAGTCTGTCTGATTTCAATGTGCCTTTTACATGGAAGATATCCTCAGGAGTATAATGAATCAACAAAAATCCACTTCTGAGAGGAAGTCATTTTGTAATTATCCCTTGAGCCAATCAAAGTTCTGTCAAGTGCTTTTGGGCTTGAGATATACAAGGAAAAGAGAAAAGTTGAAGAGTAAATCACAGAGCTTCCTGTTGAGAAGTCTGCAAAAATAACTATCCCAAATGTAGTGGTGTAAAACAATCACCACTGTATGACCTTCCCTGTGTCTGTGGGTCAAGAACTGAGACAGAGCACAGGCAAGATGGCTTCTCTGCTTTAACATATCCAGGGCTTCAGCTGAGTTCTGAATTCTCACTCACACATCTAGTAGCTGGATGGGGGTGACCTGAAAACTGGATTCAGCGCACTTACACACAGCCTAGTTGGCTTGGGCTTCCTCGTGCGGATCTTGGGGAGTCAGGCTTCCTACATGGCATTTCAGCACTCTAAGAGTGAATGTTCCCACAAATAAGACAGAAGCAGCAGGTTCTTTGACAACGCAGTGTCAGAAGTCACATGACATCACTTCTGCCCTACACTATTGGTCAAAGCAGTTACAAACTTCCACAGATTAAGATTTGGCAAAGTGAGGGGCACCTGGATTGTGCAGTTGGTTAAGCGTCTGAATTCTTGGTTTCAGCTCAGGTCGTGATCTCAGGATTGTCGATTCAAGCCTTGTGCTGGGCTCCACACTCAGCAGGGAGTCTGCTTGAGATTCTCTCTCTCCCTCTCCCTTTGCCCTTCCCCCACTAAAATAAATAAGTCTTTAAAAGATAGATTTCACATATAAGTGAAATCATATAGTATTTGTTTTTCTCTGACTTATTTCACTTAGTTAGCATAATACCCTCTAAGTCCATTCATGTTGTCGTGAATGGAAAAATTTCATTCTTTTTTATCACTAAGTAATATTCCAGGCTTAGGGTGCAAAAGAATCATCCCTATGCTCAGCCCCGAGCTGCAGAATGGTGGGACCCCTGACCTCTTTAAAATGCTCCTAGATTCATTCTGGAAGCTCCCAAGTAGATAATCCTCATGGGAATAGCCTGCTAGGCTTTTCCCCTATACTACCTGCCCTCACCTGTCATCTTCCCCCAACTCAGGTCTGCCCTGATCTCATGAGTACAACTCAAAAAATTAAGACTTTCCAATTTCAGAATGAGAAATTAGTCAACATAGGGCACGTGCTCTAATAGTTTATTAATGATTTGCTTGAATCTTCTTGATCTATATATACCATAATCTATCTGGAAAATATCATAGTTAATTGTGGTACCCCCTTCACTCCCTTCCTGCATTGTGAAGGTTAAGGAGAAGCTACGTAAAGTAGGGACTCTGGCCAAACAGGTTTTTGTTTTAACAAAGTCAGTTTGTGCTTCTGGTAGGTGGCTCTTATCACATGGTGGCATCCATATTTAGAAACTGGGGGGAGGAGAAGCAGAGGAAGTGTCTGGACAGTCAGAATCTAAGGAAAGAGAAGATGAAATCCATTTCACTTCCATACCATGAGCCTTGATCCTCCCTAGGAAGTTTTCTGGGCATACGAAGGCAGACGAAGTGGAATTGTTAGGATCAGTGGCCTGGCTACTCAAGGGAGAATAGGAACCAAATTAAACTTCAGGGCTTATGGGGCACGTGGGTGGCTCAGTCGGTTAAGCGTCTGGCTTCAGCTCAGGTCATGATCGCAGGGTCCTGAGAGCAAGTCCCGCATCAGGCTCCTTGCTTGGCGGGGAGTCTGCTTCTCCCTCTCCCTCTGCTGCTCCCCCTGCATGTGCGCACGTGTGTTCTCTCTCTCTTTCTCAAATAAATAAAATCTTAAAAAAAATAAACTTTAGGGCTTAGATGAAAATGACAATCTTCCTGACTTCACGAAATTGGCCTAGGTTTGAATCCTGAGTACACCATTCACTAGCTGTAGGACCTTGTATTCAATACTCCTTTATCCCTGAGATGACAGGAGAATAAGAGGGCATTTAACTCACCTTCAGAAGCTTTCCAATAGGATACACCAACAGCATGAAGACTGACAGGATGAGAAGCCATGTTCTTAAGTATAATGACCACTGTGTCATAAACTTCAGCACGGATGGTAGGACCCAGCAGACCTGCAAGAATGAGATGCCACCCAAAGGTCACTTTGAGAGTGGTATTCCAGGAAACCTGATATTACAAAAGTGATGGCCAAAGTCACAGTGGGAAGACATGACCCTGTGATTATTAATAAAAAGTAGTAATTGACTGAATAAATGCATAAACTGCTATCACCAGCTCAGTGTCATGGTTGTTCTGAGGATAGATTTCTGGCAATTTATTCAATGTATTCATTCATTCAACTAATAGTTGAGTTCCTACTATATTCTAGGGACTGCCCTAGGCACTGGAGATGCAGTAGTGAAGAAGACAGATCATGGAAACTACGTTCTGGAGAATGTAATTAAGCACATAAAGAAATAACAAGAAATATTCTTTTTTAAAAAAATATTTTTATTTATTTGAGAGAGAGAATGAGAAAGCACAAGAGGGGGAGGGTCAGAGGGAGAAGCAGACTCCCCGCTGAGTGGGGAGCCTGATGCGGGACTCAATCCTGGGAATCTGGGATTATGACCTGAGCTGAAGGCAGACGCCTAACCAACTGAGCTGCCCAGGTGCCCCAACAAGAAATATTCTGATTGTTGTAAATGCTATAAAAGATGGTGGTGTGCTAGAAAATGATGAAGCAGGAGACAGAATCTTTTAAATATAGTGGTTAGGAAGGGCATCCTTGAAGAGGTGGCATTTGAGCAGAGATCTAACTAATTGAAAAGAAGCAAGATTTGCAAATATCTAGTAGAATAACATTGAAAGCAGATAAAACAAATGGAAAAGTCCTGAGACAGGAATAATCTTGACATAGTTGAGTAACATGTGAATGAACAGGGGAATAAGAGAAAATAAGGTTATAAAGGCAGGCAGGGAACATAACATGTAGGACTTTTGTAGGCCACAGGAGTTTGGATAAATTTGGAATTTACAAGAAGTATGCAGACTTAGGACTTGTTTTGGATGAATAGTCAACAAGACTTGCTGATGGATTGGATGTTAGAGATAGGAAAAAAAACAAGAGCAGCCAGGGATGACTCCTGTGGTTTGGGTTTGTGCAACTGGGTGGTAGGCAGGCCAAGATGCAGAAAATTAAGAGGAAAATCAAGACTTCTGACTTACAGACATATTAAGTATAAGATGCCTACAAATGATTTATTGAATGAAGTGGATTCAATGGGACAAAAACATCAAAGAGATTTATTTTTCATAGTTTTTAAATGTGCTATGTGGAGGGACACCTGGGTGGCTCAGTCAGTTAAGTGTCTGCCTTTGGCTCAGGTCATGATGCCAGGTTCCTGGGACCAAGCCCCGCATAGGGCTCCCTGCTCTGATGGGAGCTGCTTCTCCCTCTCCTGCTCTCCCTGCTTGTGCTCTCTGTGTGTCAAATAAAATCTTAAAAAAAAAACAAAACCCTGTGTTATGTGGAGTTTCCCCTCTTGCACTTTGAACAATCCCCAATGTTTTCCAGTAACCATCACATACTAGCAGTATCATATTAGTCCAGTGATACTAGTCTAGCTTAATATCAAACATCTGATGTCTCCTGCAATTTAAGGGTCCCTCCCTCCTCCAGCTTTCTCATCTTCCTCTCCGAATCCGCCTCCCCCACTCACCTTACTGTCTCCTGACCCTCTAAGCTTGGAGCTAGTGAGAAAAGGACAGGGGTGGAAAAAGAGGCATGATGACAAGATCTTTCTTGGAAAGAACAGTGATAATGTGGCTTTGCTAGCCCCTGGTCGTGGGGCATATGCCAAAATTCTGTCTCTTTCTTTCCTAGGGAACTTATATGAGTTCTTTGGAGACTCTCTCCTTCCCAATCATGCCCTCTCCAGCTGTCACTTGTATATCTCTTCTCAGTTTCTGCTTCTGGCAATACAATTAGAGAGACTTTTTCTATTGGGGTCACCTAGCCCTGGCAGGAAGACCTCTCAGGCAGGGTCTTCTTGAGATGAATCTTGTCCTATGGCCTTCCTCATCTCACACCTAACAGTGGTAGTGCAGTTAGCTTCAGCTATAACCCACTCTCTTTATTATGCCATCAGGGGAAGCTCCCTGAAGACTCTGACCTTGAAAGTTTTTTCAGATAAAAAGCAGGAACTAGTCAGAGTCTTATGAGTTTCACAGGTCTTATGTCAAGTCTTCTAAGTGGTTCTCCTAAAGCCTTCCTCACTACAGCTTGACATGAGGGTGAAACCTTCCTCCCACTATGGGGTGGGGAACATACAAATCACCAAAAATGGTTTACAAAGAAATCCTCAAACCTAAATTATCTCATAAGTTCCTAGCCTTCTTTTATTTAGGCTTGAGGTGCAAGATGGGCTGAGGGTTGCAGAACCAATTTTGGGCCACCACCTGAACAAGTCCCTGAATAAGTCCTACATATGAGGGCTGACATTTCTTTTTCTTTTTCATCAAATTTTAACTTAAATTCTAGGTAGTTAACATACAGTGCAATATTGGTTTCAGGAGTAGGGGCGCCTGGGTGGCTCAGTTGGTTAAATGTTTGAGTCTTGATTTTGGTTCAGGTCATGATTTCAGGGTCTTGAGATTAAGCCCTGCATCATGCTCTGTGTTGGGTGTGGAGCCTGCTTGGGATTCTTTCTCTCCCTCTCTCTCTGCTCCTCTTCCTCATTCTCTCTCACTCTCTCTATATATACACATACATACATACATACATACATATACTGGTTTCAGGAGAATTCAATGATTCATCACTTACATACAATATCCAGTGCTTATCATAACACGTGTCCTTCTTCATACCCATCACTGATCCAGCCCATCCCCACCCACCTTCCTCCATCAACCCTCTATTTGTTCTCTATTGTTAAGAGTCTCCCATGGTTTGTTTCTGTCTCAATAAAATTTATTTCTTTTCTCTTAGTTCAAGATTTCAAACTGGGTAAAACTGACCTTTTATAATTAAAAAAAAATAATCTCTATACCTAACATAGCGTTTGAACTCACAACCACAATATCAAGAGCCATGTGCTCTACTGACTGAGCCAGCCAGGTGCTCCCAATCTCTCTTTAGAATTTGGGAGTACTGGGGCGCCTGGGTGGCTCAGTCGTTAAGTGTCTGCCTTCAGCTCAGGTCATGATCCCAGGGTCCTGGGATCGAGCCCCGCATCGGGCTCCCTGCTCCATGGGAAGCTTGCTTCTCCTTCTCCCACTCCCCCCGCTTGTGTTCCCTCTCTCACTGTCTCTCTGTCAAATAAATAAATAAATAAAATCTTAAAAAAAAAAAAAGAATTTGGGAGTACTTGTCACCTATAATTCTCAGCAATAATTCTAAGGTAGGAGATGTCTCATTTTGATATCCTGTTACATGCTTATTTGACATCTAAGTGGATGTATCAAGCAAGCAGCCTGAACTGAAGATATAAACCTGGGAGTTACTGGCATAGGGATATCTTAAAATTGTGGGACTGGATAAGATCAGCTAGTGATCGAAGGTAAAGAGAAGATAAAACAAACCCAGGTCCAAGACCCAGAGCACTCTAACATCTAGAGAACAAGCAGAGGAGGAGAGTCCAGCAAAGAGACAGAATATTCTGTGTCAGTGAGGCGGTAGTAAGGGAAACCTGGCCTTCTACAACTGCAGCTCCAAGACTGGGGGAGCCTTGCTAGGACATCAGATACTCAGTTTCATAATAAACAGGCAATATTGTTTATATTACCCATCCATGGTGGCCTGGGCTTGGCAATGTTGAAAAGGTCATCTGTAAACTCTACAAACACAGTCTTTTTGTACATGACTGATGTGTTGAATGGCAAAGATCTTGGCACCGTAGAAGAAAACCTGTGTGAAGAAAGGAAAACGTCATTCATTTTGGTGGACCTTCTTTGAACCTGCTTTTCAGAAGCTGGAAGTAAAGCTTCCATCCCACTCTCTTCTACTGTTAACAAGGCAAGCTGGAAATTATATATAATGCTGCTATAGACTGAATGTTTATGTGTGCAGACAATGGGATTAGTGACCTTATAAAAGAGACCCAAGACCCCAGAGAGATCTCTCACCTCTTCCACCATATGCAATGTTACAGTGGCACAATGGGAAGATGGCCATCCGTGAACCAGACACGGAATCTGCTAGCACTTGACCTTGGACTTCCAGGCTCCACAACTGTCAGAAATCCGTGTCTTCTGTGTACAAGCCACCCAGTCTGTGCTATTTTGTTATAGCTTCCTGAACAGACTAAGACAATTCCTAACGTCTATCAAACCAAAACACTGTTTTCAAAAGTCATCTGATACATTAGGTGCCACATGATAAAATAAATCATGGTTTGTTTCTGTCTCAATAAAGTTTGAGTACCCATACACTGCATCCTTTGCCAAAACAGTAACTACGGGGTCCTTCAATTTTATCTCTAAAAGACACTGTAACTTTAATCTAATTAACTTGTATTCAAATTTTGTCAGTATGTACCTAAAATTATACTTCCCCTCTCAGGGATACCAGGAAAATCAGAGAAAATTACCTTCCAATAAACACTATGTACATTGATCTACTGGTGCCAGAAGCTGTAATTTAGAGTCAATTCTCCATTAATGCTCATTTTTGTCTCTAGTCAGATATTCCCAATTATCCATTTATTCATAGATTAGCTACTGAATCAGAAATTTTACAGTTGATTATATAAATGTTTCCAAAATGCTTTTCTTTGCCTCAGTTATTAAAACTCTTTTAGGTAAAGACTGGTTCCCAACCTTTTCCTCTCTCTCTACCTGACAAGTTAGGTTGTCATGTTCTGGGGCCCAGTCTAGGTTGAATAATCAAAAGGATCAATGTGAAGAGGCCGCAGGTGAATTGGTAGAAAATACAAAGTGCTTGAAGGTGGCTATTGCCACTCATTTTTGCATGCATAGAGTAGTTCTGCAGTTTTCTATATGCCATAGAGAGCCTCTCTTCCTGACTTATACTTCTGGATATCTAACTCTTACCACTTCCCAGATTTTACCAATTGGCATTGCTTCAGCAAGCCAAAGAAGTATAGGCACAAGGCATGGACATTTGGAGAATGAATTCTGCTGCCCTGGAAGGAAACTTTCATGTGTAGATCCTGGTCTCCAAACCCCAATCAGTCAAAAAAAAAAACTGAGCACTCACTCCCCACAGATGTATATACATCACAGATGTATAAACCATATACTACATGCCACTGTGCTGTCACAAAATACATATTAGAAATGAATATGGAAAAGGAGAGATTGTTAAGGATATATAATTATAGAGCAGATGTTGTTTCTTTTGTTTTGGTAACTAAATATTTTTATTTGACATCACATTTCAATCTCATATATTTGTGTAATAATTAAAAATGACCCCCCATGGTGAACTTTTCACAACTGCATGCTAGTTCAACAGATCCCCCTTTCATTCTCCACTTAAAATCCAACTCTTTTTTTTTTAAAGATTGTATTTATTTATTTGAGAGAGAGAGACACAGCAAGAGATGGAACACAAGCAGGGGGAGTGGGAGAGGGAGAAGCAGGCTTCCCGCCGAGCAGGGAGCCCGATGCGGGGCTCGATCCCAGGACCCTGGGACCGTGACCTGAGCCGAAGGCAGACGCTTAACGACTAAGCCACCCAGGCGCCCCTAAAATCCAACTCTTGCTTTGTTGTAACACCATGAAGGAAAGAACTGCTGGTCCTTGAGAGCAAAATGGGGATGTGTGTACATAAAACCTAGTGGGTGGGTTCTCCTTACATCATGGTTTGTGTGGCAATGTTTGTTTTGGTAAATAGGATAGAAAAGGGTAAGAACAGAAAAGAGGGCCTCATTATAAAAGAAACACAAATCCATTTCAGTGCCCCAGGTGGTTTGAACTGCTGAGCCAGTAACCCAGTGCATTCTCTGCCTGGTTACTGACAGGTGTCAGGGTCTAGAATCTGAGGGTGGAAAGGAAGCTCTGGCACCACGCAGCCAGCCCCCTCTAGTTTCTGGCTAATGACAAGGTTCAGGGAACTTGGGTGAATGGCTGGACAGGGGCAGGAACTCAGGCTCTCAGACCCAGATCCTTAGTACTCAGTGTCAAACTCATTTCCTGGTCCTCTGCATAAACTTGGGGTCTGTGAACTGATGCTTGTTCAGTCTGACTAATGTCAGAAACAATTCAGTTTTCATGTGTAAGTTTCCTCTGCACAACATTTGTAGTCTTGGTTGTTATTCCGATGAGGGTAGTTTTCATCTGTCACTCCAAGTGAGTGCACTAGGCTTCAGTGTCAGTAGAGCTCTTTTCATGCTGTTTCTCTCTTCATCTATAGCTTACATAACAGCCTGTTTTCAAATTTAATAATTAGGTCAATGATTCTTGATTTATTTTTACAAGATAAAACTAAAGACAGTAATAAGACCAGGGAGAAATGGTGCAGTTCTAACATCCCAATGTGAAAGGATTTTTTTCTGTATTACACAGAGGAATCTAGCATTAATAGATACTCAGAAGTAGCTTTTGGTGTAAGCATTTAAGGATGAACAGAAGAAGGTTTATGTGGTGGACACCAAGGACCCTCAACAGAGAACTTTCTCAGCTTAAATTTTTTCTCATTTTTAAAATTGTGGTAAAACAGATAAAACATCAAATTTACTCTTAAACATGTTTAAGTGTATAATTCAGTGGTACTAAGTATATTAATATTGTTGTACAACCATCACCACATGGCATCTATCTCCATAACTCTTATCTTGCAAAACTGAAACTCAATATCCATTAAACAATAACACCCCTCAGCCCCTGAAACCACCATTCTGCTTTCTGTTGCTATGATTTTGACTATTCTAGGTACCTCATATAAGTGGAATTATACAGTACTTGTCTTTTTCTGACTGGCTTAATGTCCTTAAGATTGATCCACATTGTAGCAGGTGTCAGAATTCTCTTCATTTTTAAGGCTGAATAACATCCCATTGTATGAACAGATCACATGTTGTTTATCCATTCATCCATAAATAGACGCTTGGGTTGCTTCCATGTTTTAGCTATCGAGAATAATGCTGCTATGAACATGTGTATACAAATCTCTCTCCAAGATCCTGCTTTCAATTATTTTGAGTATATATCCAGAAATGGAACTGATGGATTATATGGTAATTTTCAAAAAGTTTTTAAGAATCACCATCCTGTTTTTCACAGCGGCTACACCATTTTATATTCCAACCAACAGTGCAGAAGCATTCCAATTCCTCTACATCCTCACCAACACTTATTTTCTGATTTTTTTTGTTGTTTATTTGTTTGTATAATAGCCATCCTAATGGGTGAGAGATTGTATCTCTGTAGTTTTCATTTGTATTTCCCTAGGTAAGTTTGAGCATCTTTTCATGTGCTTATTGGCCATTTGTATACTTTCTGTGGAGAAATGCCTATTCAAGTGTGTTTTGTGCATGTTTGAATTAGGTTGTTTGCTTTCTTATTGAGTTTTTCTTTTTAAGTTTTTTTTTAAGTGACCTCTACACCCAACATGGGGCTTGAACTCATAATCCTGAGACCAAGAGTCGCATGCTCCACTGACTGAGCCAGCCAGGCACCCCTTTCTTGTTCAGTTTTAAGGAGTTCTCCATATACAGGTTTCCCCTGCTATCCAAAAGTAGAATATGCCTATGAAACCTTTTGTAAGCTGAAATGGCATAAAACAAAGAAGCAACTACCATTTTGTAAAAGGCACAATGCTCTTCAGATTTTTTTAGTTAGTGAAAACAGGTACTAAAGTCGGTCTTTTGTAAAAGCAGTGTTGTAAAGCAAACTTTCAGACAGTGGGGGAAACGTGTACTTTGGATATTAATCTCTTAGTATTTTATTTTATTTATTTATTTTTAAGATTTTATTTATTTATTTGAGAGAGAGAGAATGAGAGAGAGAGAGAGAGAGCACATGACGGGGGGGGAGGGTCAGAGGGAGAAGCAGGCTCCCTGCTGAGCAGGGAGCCCAACGTGAGACTTGATCCCGGGACTCCAGGATCATGACCTGAGCCGAAGGCAGTTGCTTAACCAACTGAGCCACCCAGGCGCCCTAATCTCTTAGTATTTTAAAAAAGATTTTATTTATTATATTAGAAAGAGAGAGACAGAGAGCGTGAGTGGGGGGAGGGGTAGAGGGAGAGAATCTTCAAGCAGACTCCTGCTGAGCATGAAGACTGATGTGAGGCCTGATTTCATGACCCTGGGATTTTGACCTGAGCCGAAGGCAGACGCCCAACAACTGAGCCACCCAGGCGCCCCTTTTTTGGTGCTTATTGAGGCTAAGTATCTGAATAGTTTCCTTGAGCAATTGTGACACATTAGGACATTCACAGAAGCAGGAGCAACCTACAGCATTTCTTTTTTATTTTTCTTTAAAATAATTGATTAGTTTTGGATCACAAAATACAGGGAAAGCACAAGGGCAGTGCCTGTGACCCCTTGGCTGTACTTCCCAGGCTATGCATCTGGGAACTACCTCTGTACAACACCAAGCTTGGCCTCAGCACCCTCACACCCTAACAGCTGCAGAGTATAGCACCCGAGCCTGCGGCAAGTTTAAACACACCCCATTCACAACACAGGGCTCCCCTCCAATCATTTTCCAGATCTCTGGCCAACAGTGAAATAGTTGTTCCAACTATCAATTTCTTAGAACTCTCAGAAATGAGTAGGTCACAGGCAATTATGCCTCAAAGCTCTTAGAGTTGTTTTTTTTAACCTTTTAAGAAGGCCTTTCTTAATTAACAGCAGTGACTAAAGCCCCTTCTGTGTTCCCAGCATTCTAAGCCCCAGGCGGCGATGGAGGAAGGGCAGGCCAGGCCAAGCATGAGGAATAAACAATTTTACTGGGCTCAGACCAGGAGTCCATGCATCTTGAGGACCTGTGTATTTATCAATTTTCTTCTCCACATTCTTTTCGGCCTGTTTCTGTAGCCTCATGAGCTGCTGCTTCTTCCGGTAATAGATCTTGGCCTTCTCCTTTCTCTTCTCCAGGGTGGCTGTTATGGCCTGGTACTTCCAGCCAACCTCGTGAGCCAGGCGCCCCAGGTAAGCAAACTTCTGTGT